CCCCCGAGGCTGCGAGGGGAAATAAGCCGGAGCAGCCGGGAAGCACAGGGAAGGAGGGCCCGTACGGAGATTTATGGCCACAGCCAGCCCCCTGCGCACCGAGCGCGTCTCCGTCTCCGTCCTTTGCACGCGGAGCAGTGGAGAGGAAGACCCGACCCGGGCCAGGGAAAAAGCCAGGGCCGGAGGCGGAGCCAGGAGGCGCCGGGATCCGCAGGGCCCGGCCTGGAGCTTCAGCCTCAGCTCTGTCCGCCCCGAGCCCTGGTCCCGGCTGCGAGCGGGGCTCTGGCGCCGAGTCCCTGGTGTTCCTGGCGAGCGGGGCTGCTCTCAGCAGGGCTGGCCGAACCTTTGCTGGGCTCCGAATCGCGGCTGGGCCAGTGGCAGCACGGAGATAGCACTGCTTTTCCGGGCGGGGCCTCTCCGGGTTTTAGCGGCGTCCGGGCCAGGAGCTCCCAGGTTGCTGGACCTGGGACTCGGACACTGGAGCTTAAAAGACCCGGCCAGATCCTCCCAAGCGGGCAGGAGAGGTCGGCGACCGCCCAGGCTCCTTTACCGACAGCCTCACAGAGCGCGGGGGCTTACGTCCCCACTGGGAAGGCCGTTTGGGGCGAAGAGTGGTGGTGGCTGGATGTCCTCACCTAAAAAACGATGCTTTTCCCCCCCTTTGGGGAAGGGGTACGGGGAGAGACGTGTCCACGCGGCCAGCAGCCCCGGGGTTCCGGAAAGCGCCGGGTTTGGCCCTGAATTGGGGGGGGGGCTGAGCCGGAGGACAAAAGCACGGCCCACGAGAGCTGGGCTCAAGGTTGGCTTGTCCTTTAGTTTTAAAACAAAGGGGAAGCATTTTGTCGGTTGGGTCGCCACAGAGCCAGAGCCGGTGACCTGGGAACACACAAAAGGCTTCGCTTCCAGAAGCCCACGCTGGCCGTGGACAAGGGCACAGGCCTGGGCGAATTCTGCGGGAACTGAGGTCTGAGGTTTCGAGGTCCCACCCTCCAGCCGATTTTCCGCTCAGTCAGTACAAAACACACACACACACACACACACACACACACACACACACACACACACACACACACACACACACACACACACACACACACACACACACACACACACACACACACACACACACTACGTCAACACCCCTTTTGGCCTCGGCTCCCGCCGGGAAGACAGAAGAATGTGGGGGGAGGGGGCGGAAGATGGCGGCCAAACTGCGGGCTGCGCGGCTGTCACCCGCTCCCGGCAGGCCGCCCAGGCCTGTTTCTACATGTCAGTGTGGCCCACCAGTGCGAGGAAGGCGTCAGCCCAGAACTGGGAGGCCGGTGAGGGGTGCTCCAGAGCCCCCCTTCACGCGGCGAGGGTTTTCGCAGAAGGCCGGGCAGCTCCCATCTCTCAGCCTGGGAATCCGTCCCTCGCCCTAAGATGGCTCCCAGCCGCTGTTTATCCAGCGACTGCGGGGGACACCAGGGTGTGGGGCTGCGGAGGGGGCGAAGATCAGGGCGCGCACAGGACTGCCGGGTCGGGCGGCTCCTCCGCGCTGTCCCCACACACGCTGCAGCTCGACCTGGCGTGGCCAGGACCTGTCCTATCGTCCTGCCCCGCGGAGCTGCCACCTCCGCTGGCCCAAGCCCCACGCCGGAGCCGATTCCGCCCGTGCGGGTGTAAGTGTGTGCAGGGAGGGCGGTGCAATGGGGCTGGGGCCACAAAGGCCCGGGAAGAAGAGGCTGGAGGATAGGGCCTTGACGTCCGGAGCGGGGAACCGCGGCCCTAATGAAATGCAGGCTCGGTTCATCCCGCCGACTAGGCACACCCTTGGAAAATGCAAACGCCATTGGCAAATCCAGGGCAAACAGACAGAATTTTTATTAGCAACTAAATGATTTATGGCACACATACCCGGCCGTCACAATTACGGCGTCTTGGAGCATCCAGGAGTGAAAACATTAAACATTTATAAAAATAGGCTTTTGTTATTTTCCACCCTGCAAGCCCTTTGTATTCTCCAATCCCGCTCTCTCAACATACTTTTTTTTTTAGGTATATTAAAATAAAAACATTCCAGATCTAGGGCGGGGATATGGGATGGGGGGGGGATCAGGGTCTGGGCTCCGAATACTGGAGGGCAACCAGGGGATTGGGAAGCAACCGGGACTCAGGCGAGGGAGGGTTTACTAGGAAACCAAAAAGGCCTCTGCATAGGACTTGAGGATGGTCGGCGCCCACTAAGACTGCGCCCCCACGCACGGCCCCTTCCCAAGCCTTGGCTTCCAGCGGCTCGACTGTGTTTATTTTATTTCTGCAGTCATCCCCCTCCCCCAAGGAACACAGACACAATACCTCCTTTCTTTTAACCCCCCTCTCCTCTCCGTCTTTGCTCCTGCCTGTCCGGGGCTGCAAGGGGAGCCTCCCGCTGCCCGGGCCGCCACAGAGACCTGTGCGCCCTGCTCCAAACGCGGCCACCGTCGCTTGTTCCCCTCGGATCCGGCTATTTTCGTTCCTTTCTTTCCTTCTCACTCCTCCCTCCTCCCCGCAGAGCTCCGGCTTCCAAAAGAGGGCAGCCTAGAAACCAGCGCTGGAAGCTTTAGGAAGGGCAACTTGAAACTGTCCTCAAGAGGCTGAACTTTTTTTTCCCCTCAAATTTATACTGGAATTAAATTAGACACCCCAGTTTGCTCTCGAACCTTAACCCCTCTTTTTTTTTTTTTTTTTGCTAAAAATGGTTTAAAGAAAATAGAACAAACGGGCGCTAACTAGCTTATTTTACCCCCTCCAGGAAAGTTGCCTTAAAAATAGATTTTAAAAAATGAAGCTAGCTGTGTGAAAACGCTGAGTCCGCAGCGCGGGGGCTAAAGAGCGGGCTCCTCTTGTTTTAATTAAAATCCAATCACCACGGTGGCTCTCCGAGGCAGGATCGGCAAGGATTTCTGCCCTTCCAAGCTTCCTTTTCAGGGTACGTAATGCCCAGCCTGTCAAGCTGCGGAGAGGGTGCGGGGCCCCCAGGGCGGCCCCTAGGACCGCGTCCTCTCCCCTAGCGCCCGCAGCCAAGTAGGTTGCCGCGGGCAGCTCCCGGCGACTCAACCCCGAGAGAATTTTGCTGAAAGCGCAAAATAAAAGTACAAAGTCTGGGGGATTGAGTCTCCCCTCCCCCTCCGGCCACCGCGGCCAGCCAAGCACTTTTTGGGCTTGGCTGCTGCAGTCTCTGAGCTCAACAGTTTTTTTTTCCCCCGGTCTCGCCCTCCCTGGAGGGGGCGCGGCGGATGGAAGGCTAGAGAGGCCCCCAGCCAAGAGGTTTTTAATATTACACTTTAATAGGTTTCAGAAAGCCCCGTGGAGAAATGCTAATAGGCTGAAATGTCAGAATCGAGAGGGAGTTAGTTCGCACTCAGCCGATCCAATCCTTTTTTCTGCTCTGATTTTTTTTTGTGGGGGGGAAGGGAAGGGGTGGGGAGTGCCCACGCCGAGAGACTTTGGGGAGGGGCGCGCGGTGCAAAGAGCCGCAGCCCTAGCTGGGGCCTTGGGGGCAGCGCGCCCCGGCTCGCGTTTCTATAGGAACCCCTTTTAGAAGATTAGAGACTCACCCGCTGCCGGCCGCCGCGGCCTCTCCAAAATATTAATCAGTAACCATCTGACACCGCATTTCAGGGAGGGACCCGCAGGCCTGGGCTAGGAAAACGGCCTTCTCGCCAGCCCATCCTACCCAACCGCGCTGCTGGGGGACAGGGAATGAATCGCTGCTTTGTTTTAAAAGGGGGGGGGAGGGAAAGGCAGCTCTAGTCCGTTTTGGCGTCGCCAACGCGCGTTCTAGAAGGCGCGCCCCAGGGGAGGTGGGGGGCCGGGGCCCAGGCGCGGGGTGCAGCCGGCCGAGCCCCAGGCCCTTCCCGGCTCACTCGGCTTGTCACCTCCTTCTGCGAGCAGGAAGCTGACAGGCGGCCCATTAAACCGCGCCTTGCAAAGCTCAGGATTGCGGCGACAACCATCTTCCTCTATTTTGATCACTAAGCCCAGACGCTGGGGGAGGGGGGAGGAAAAGGCAGGAGGAGGAGGAGAAAGGGGGGGTGTCCGAGTTGGTGGAGGGGGAGGGCTGCCTAGAAACGGCTCGGAAAAATTCTCACCACCAGTTTTGATCATTCAGCCCCGCCGAGGGGAGCCTGGAAACTGCTGGAGCCCTTTGGTCCGTAATTGGTTTTATAGGAATGGCTGAGGGCCAAGGTGTTTACATGCGCGTGACTGGCGGCGCGCGCGGCCAATGGGTGGCGGCCGGGGGCCGGCCTGGGGGGGGGAGAGGCGGACCCCGGGGAACAATGCGTGTTTCTTCCGCGAAGAGTGCTCCCCTCCCCCAGCCGCCCCTCCCCCCGCTGGATTTTTTTTTTTTTTTTTTTTTTTTTTTTTAGATCCAGTGAGAGGAACTTGAAAGGGGGGTTGTGTAATGTACCTTTTCCAATCCCGGGCTGTATATGGAGATTTGGGATTCTTTAAACCGGCGCTACCTGGATTTTATTAAAAAGCGGGGAGCTCGGCGGGAGGAAAGCTGGCTTTTCCGGGGGCTGCGGGAGCCGGGCCGCGGGAGGGCGGAGGAGTTGGCGCGCCGAGAGCTCGGCCCGGGGAGCGGTTTTCAACCAAAAAAAGGAAAGGCGGGCAAAAAGTGTGAAGAGGCTGCGGGTGGCGGAGGGGCGCAGCGACCGCGGGATGGCGGGCAGCACGGGCGCGTAGCCGCGCCGGGAGCCGGGGCCGCCACCGGAGTCACCGTCGCCAGAGTCCGGAGCCCGGAGCCCCGCCGCGCCAGGTACGCCGCCGGGTTGCCCGCCCGTCTCTGGCCGGGCGCGACGGTCTCCAAACTTCTTCAGCGGGTCCTCCACCCTCCTCACCCTCGGGGTGTGCCGAGGGGATCCCTGCAGCTTTCTTGTCCTGGAGAATGGAATCGGGGGCCAGGGCCGGTGAGGCGGGGGCGCGCAGGGAGGGGAGAGGGAGAGCCGCTCTTTCCCCCGGCTCTCACTTGAGCCCGCAGCCCAGCTCCTGCCCGCCCAGCCTGGCCCCGGGGCATCGGTTCTTTCTCGGTTCCCTGTAGGCGGCGGGGGAGCCCGAACGCCGAGACGTTTTCGATTATGGGCTGTTTTTAATTAAAAGCCGGAATTCAGCCATTTTAACTATATTTAAGAGGGGGAGAAAGTAGGGAGAACGCAGCGGAGCTCGCAGATGGCCGAGCCAGCTTCTCTGCCAGAGCGAGGGTGTCCTGGGGGCTCCACCTCGACTTCCCCAAAGTGGGGCATGACCTGAAGTGCTGCCTTTTGAAAGAGAGATACACAAGGACGTTTTTTAAAAATCACGGGAAGCTCATCGCCTTAAGACATCTATCTTAGGATGTGGCGATCTTAGATTTTTCCAAAGTAAATGCGGATCTGGTAACCAGAGCCTGATGGGAGAGAGTGAGGGAGGGAGGAAGGGAGTAAGGGGGTGGTTGTAACCAAAATAGGGTTAAAATGATCACCTTTAGCAAAGTTGTGGAGGAAGGCTGGAGAGGAAAGCCGGGGGGTGGGGTGGGAGCTGGTGGCCAAGGGGTCAGCAGCTCGCGGCGCGGGGCATTGGGCGGGCACCCGGGAATCGGTGGCTTTGGCGTGATCGGCAGCTCTAGGAGTGCCCCGGCCTCCCGGAATCAGGAATCCAAGCTGCTGCGGGCAGAGAACGAGGACCGGGTTGGCTCCAAGACCCCCCTCCCGCCCCCGAGGGAATCGGCAACCGACAAATCTTTTAAACAAACAGCTTTAAACTGGAACTACAGAGGGATTTACCCAGCGCTGGGGGAGGCGCCCCTCGGTGTGAAGGTTTTCTTTGTAGGTTATTTTGGGGTTGGGGGAAGCTAGGGTAGGAGCCAGATTCTTGAGCCCCTTCCGTCCTCCGAAGCCCCCCAAATCCCCGGCTCCAGGCCACGTCTTTGGGCCGCAGGATTCCCAGGCCAGGGCGTTGGAAAATGAAACCAAAGCTTGTTTGGAAGGATTCTTTTCAGTCCTCAGGCGAGAATGCCACGTCTCCGGTCCTCGGACTCAGACTGGGCGACTCACAGTGCCCCGAGGGGGGCGGCGAAGCCCTTTAAAAATACAAACCCGCTTTGCACCCTCTCTCCCGAAAAATCCACAAGTTCGGCGCCTCAGAACGAACTGAGGGAAACTAAACTAAAAAAAGGAAGGCGAGGGCCCCCAAAGGTTAAATATTAAACTTTCCTGATCATATAGTGACAGGGCTGCTCTTGGAAAGGTTTCACGGTTTGAAACCCCAGAGCGTGTGACGCCCAGGAATCAAACACTCTTCGGAGGTTTGTATTTTCGCGGTCCGGGCGCCTCCGAGGGCCTTCCCCACACTCGGGAGGCCCGGTGAACCGCCGAGGCAGAGGCGGGCTGGGCACAGCGCGCCACCGGTCGCTTTCCGAGTCGCGGCCCCGGGAGCCTGAAGCCGTCAGTGGAAGGAGTATGGATTTTTGCATTTTATGGAAAAGGGACTACTCCCGATTTTATTTCTGGCCACCAGACCTGCAGCTCCCAATCCCGAACGGCAAAACGACTTTCTGAAACTTGTTTATTTTTTTTCTTCCCCTTTTTTCTTTTCTCCCTTCTGTTTCTTCCGCGGCGCGTCTCCTCTCTCTCGCAAGACGCCGAGTGCGCCGCCTCGCGCAGCTCCGCCTGGCCGCCCGGAGGAGCCCCACCGCCCGCAGCCTGTGCGCCCGGGGCCGCGGGCCCGCCGCCGAGCGCAAGCCCCGCTGGCCGCCGCCGCCATGCATGCCGTGGAGCCCCCGCCGCCCGAGGACTCTGGGACTACGCCGAGGCCGAACTTTTAGGTTCTGCTGAGCGAGGCCCACGGGCCGGGTCGGGGGCTGGCCGTGGCACTCCCGCGGAGGATGGATGGCCGAGACTTCGGGCCTCCGCGGTCCGTGCACGGCCCCCCGCCGCCGCTGCTGTCCGGCTTGGCGATGGACAGCCATCGCGTGGGCGCGGCCACGACAGGACGCCTGCCTGCTTCGGGCTTGCCGGGCCCGCTGCCGCCCGGGAAGTACATGGCGGGCCTCAATCTCCACCCGCACCCGGGTAAGTGCCCCTGCGCCCTGGTCGCCCCCGCTTGTACCCCCGGGATCTGGGGGAGGGATGCCAGGGAAGTACTATAGGGCCTGTTCTCGGGCGTTTGCGACGGGGGTGCGGCACTATCCTCTCTCCCGGCGGATTCATGGGGTTGCGGGCCGTTTCAGCTTCCGAGGTGGGGAGACCCTGGAACTGGGGCGAGGCAATCCGGGAGGCGCCGGTGTAGGGGTGGAGGTAGGCTCCGCTGCCTCCTCCGGCGCATGGGGTTCTCCCAAGGCGCATTTCTCTGCCGCAATTGGAGTCACCGGGGATGAGCCCAACTCCCGAATCCCTGCGGCTGAGGCTGGGCTGGAGTTTTCAAAATCTGGGCGAGAAAAGCACAAACCAGCCCCACACCCTTTGAAACATCTGTTCCCAGAGCTCGACTCTATTTCTTGGCAAGCAAGCGCCCTTGCCGGCGCCTGTGGGCCCCGGGTTCGGTTTCTAGCCTTCCACTTCTGCCGCGCGGGGTCTCCGGCCAGCCGTGAGCGCCCGAGTGTTCCGGGGGGACGGGAAACCCAGCCCTGGGACCTTGGCCTGCGGCGGGTGGGCAGCGGTCCTCGGGAGACCTCTCCAGAAGGAGAACGGCAGTCCTGGGACCCCCACACCCTGGTAGGAGAGCAGCGACTCCGGCCCCGGGGACCCTTAGTACTCCGGCGGGAGGGAAGGCGCGCGGCGGGCACGCAGAAACTGGGCCGCTGCCACCCCAAAGCTGAGGGAAGGAAGCGCTACGGGAGCGAATCCGGCCAGGCTAGAGCGGCGGGGAGGAAAATCTTGACTCTGTCATTAGTCATAGAAGGAGGTGGCCGACAAGGCTCGGCCGCTTTCGCCATTTCCCGAGAGGGGCTGCCCAAGCTCCGTGAGGACGGCGCCGGGGAGGAGGAAGGTCGCCCCGGCGGCCGCGGCCGCTCCAGTGGGGCGCAGTGGGAAGGCAGTTGCGGGCCCCTCCAAGACCTGCGGCGGACCTCTGCACCAGACGGGGTCCCTCCTCCCGGCTGCCTCCGCCCTCTGTGTCCGGCGTCCCACACTTCGACTTTTGGAGAATTCACCTCTCCTACTCCGAAATGTAGTCTAGGGTGCTTGTGACTTCTTGGGGAGCCCCCGACGCTCTTCTTGGCCTTGGGGTCTTGGAGGGGACGCCTTCGGTCGCTGCGCCGCCTGGGCCCTGCCCCACTGACCCTGCCGCTCCGTCGCGCTCGCCGTTTTTGCCTATCTCTTCGGGTTTCCTCCTGTAACTTTTCAGGAACCGGAGTCCCGAGACACGGCGGGACAAAGGACCTTTGTGAGGCGCCGGGCGGGGGAGGGGCGGCGCGGGGGCCAGGAGCGCGGAGATCCCAGCCGGCGGGGTGCGAGGACCAGGTCGCAGCGCCGGGGAGAGTGTCCCTGGAGAGTGGGGGGCTGCATTCCGCCCCTGAGGGCCGCGAGGAGGACAACGGAAGGGACCCCCCCCCGGGAGGATGGGTTGGGGGCGGCCTTGGGGTACAAAAGGCCGCTGGAGCCGTCCCCTTTTGTGTGCCCACAGAGGCGGCAATAATTTTTGTTTGCGTGTCGTTCGAACTCATCCGGTCTCCGGGCCTGCCTGGGGTGGTAGCATGGGGTCGGAGGCCTGGGAACCTGGCCGGGTCTCCCCCCCCCCGCAGGGCCCTCGCTCGCCTTCCGAAAGTCAGGGTTAGAGAGGGCGCTGCGGCCTCCGAGTCTCGGGTCTGGCTGCGGCGGACACAGGCCAAGCGCCTTCATCCGAAGCAGTGAAAACAGCCACTACTCCAGTGGCGCCCGGCCTAACCGGGGCGGCCCGACGCCCATTAGGTGGATGGGGAGGCTGAGGCGGGAGAGGGGAAGCGACCTGGGGCAGGCGGGCAGGATCGGGGAACCAGTGGGAGGCGGCCGCAGAGGCCTGTCTCGCGCCTCCGCGTCCGGCGCTGCCGGACTTCTGCGTGCTCAGCGGCTGAGGTCACGGAGGAAACAGCAGGCGGCTTAGGAATCGCCGCCCGGGAAGGGAAGGGCCAGAGCCATTCCTGGGGCCGGACTCCCCTGGAAGGGAAAGATAGGGGGCTTGCCGCCCCCACGTGGAACGGCCTCGTGGAGACTTCGGACCCCAGGCCGACCAGGCTCAGAACAGAGTCCTGTGCTAATCCCCTGAGCTGGGGAGCTGCCCTCCCCCCCCCCCACACACACTGCTTGGGTGGGGCCCGGTTTACAAATTCCTCTGCTCAGCTCCCCTCCCCCTTTTTTTATGGGGTGCAGGTGTTAAATTTTCCCTTTCAACACCCTTGCCTTCTTGGCTGTCAGCCTCTTAGGTCAGGCCAGCTTTATCAGCTCCATCTTTGTTTATTTTTGCACTGGGAAGACCAGAGAGGCTAAGCCATTTGCCCTGAGTCCCACAGCAAGGCAGAGGCTACCCTTGTCACCTCCGACTCCAATCCACTCCGGACTCCCGCCTAGGTGGGGTCCTAGTGAGGGGAGGAGACGCGGAGCCGGAGGGAGCTGCCTCGGGAGGGCTCACTCTGTGAAGGGCCCCGGGCTGCCCTGGGTGCTGGCACCTTTTCCAGGTGGGTCTGCCTTTGTGAGCGAGGTTCTTGGAAGGAGCTGCCTTCTGCTTCAGGGATCTAGGCCAAAGAACTTGGCTGTGGCCTCTGCAGAAGCAGGGGAGAAACCAAGAATAACTGAGATTCGGGGTGGTTCTTACCTTTCCCGTAACCTTGAGTATGGTTGTGTTTGGGGTCCCTAAATGTTCACAGGTGACATTAAAATGGACAAGTGACAACTACCCGACAGGCTTGCCTCTCTGCTGTGGGGTTGGGAGGCTGGGACATGGTCCTTAGTGGCAGTGAAAGAGCTATTAGCAGAATTTTGTATTTGGACATTGACTCCCCCTGCCCTCACACCCCTGGCTGGGACATGTGGAGGGGGGTGGGAACCAAGGAGCAGGGTGGGAGGCCTTGCACTTTGGACTGGCCCGTGGACAATAGGGGGCCCGCAGCTTTCTCCGAGTCTATCAGCTCCATCTGTGGAATCCAGCCCCACAGCCTTCTGGGATGGATTTGAAAAGGTTAGTCAGTGTGCTGGCTGGCGCGGTGATGTGATCCCAGAGATAAGGGAGATTTGCTGGGTGCTTCCTTCTCTGGCCTGGGGGAGGTTCTGGAATCTGGAAGGCGGCCCCCCCCCCCCCCCCCCCCCCGCCCCGGGCTCCCTGGCTCTCCGAGCCTCCTGGTCTTTAGCACTTTCTCTCCGGACTTGTTCATTTACTCAGTGAACCATTTCCAAGTGCGTCCTGCGTGCCACGCGCTGCTTTCGCCCCAGGGATCCAGCAGGGACAGAAATCTTTGCCCTCGCCGGAGCTCGAGCCCTAGTGTGGGGCAGTTAGTAAACACGGATTAGGGAGGGAAGTCACTTTAAATGGAGATGCAGGCCTTGGCGGCCAGGGAAGGCTGAGGGTCTCTTTTTGCTGCAGCGGTGAGGGGCTGTGAACCTGAGAATGGCTGGTTTGGCGGGGAGGTGTGCTGGGATGGGGAGAGTGGGAGGAGGTTCGGACCTGTAATGAGGTCTTGGAATTTCAAGCTGTGAGGCGAGAGAAGGCAGTGGAGGGTTTTAGGTGGAGAGAGTGACTCAGGTTGAGGGAGTCCCCAGCTTCCAGGCTACGGTACCAGGGCTGTGCCTACCGGTCAGGGCCTGTTAGGAACCAGGCCATACAGCAGGAAGTGAGCTTGAACATGATGCGCTTAAATCACCGCAAGTCTCCCCTGCCCCCCAGGCCCTGCTCCCGTCTGTGGAAAAACTATCTTCCACGGCACTTGTCCCTGGTGCCAGAGAGGTTGGGGATCACTGTCTTACAGAACTAGTCTGGGCTCTTAAAAAAATGTCAGCGGCATGCAGGACTGCAGGAAGGCCAGGAATTGTTCCTGATTACCAGACACGCGCGCGCACACACACACACACACACACAATGTGGCAGCAAATGGCAGTGGAAGGCCCTTGATTGGATCTTGGGTCAGGGGAGAAATGGCCCTAAAGGATATCAGCGGGGCAGTTGG